ATATTCTTTTCACACATTTATCTCCTCTTGTGCACAATCAAAAGGTTGATTGTTGGTGGCCCTTATCAATGAATAACTTGCATTCCTTTTTATTTTTATTTTTTTTTTGCTTTTTTGTTCATTACAATTTTAAATTTCTTTTGGTATCTGAATGTGCTCCTTAACTTGCTCCTCTAAGAGACAAAAGAGAGGACCAAGTCTTTTATCTTCACTCATCCAAAGGTGGATGGATAATCTGCTTTTGTGGGGACATGGGTCATTGTTTAGAGCTCAATTATGAGTACTTAACTTCACCCAACAACGACAACAACAACAACATGAGCATCAACTCTCTGTTTTGTTGGAAGTATAAAATAAAATAAAATAACATAACATCAATAGGAACTTTAAGCATTTACAATGTCTGTGTTGTGTATTTATTTATTTATTTCAGATTTCTATGTATGTATTCATGCACACTATCCATTTCTCATCTGATTCTCCTGTGTTTATCATGGAAAATATTCAAAACTTTCAGAGTAAATTTTGCAAAGAAAACAATCCTACAAACATAATGAATATGGCTGTTCTATTATTTGTAGTGTATATATAAACAATTATTAATGACACGAGTTAACATTTTAAAGAAAAAAATGTAGTATACACAGGCATATTTTTAACATATGTATTTTTTTATTTTAAAAAAATCAATATTCGAAGATGTATATATTATTGAATATAATTATAATATATTTTCTTCGCTTTTTACAAATACAATCTTACTAGTTTCACAATCTTTATTTTGAGGTTTCAGTTTTAAGATAAAATACAAAACAAGTACATATCTCATATCCAAAATATCTCTATTTTCAGACTTAATTATTGTTAGTCTTCAAACATATCATATTAAAAATGATTTATACAGTACATCAACATTTTTTTCACATTTATTGAGTGCCCTTGAGATTAAGAAGACAAGAACAGCTTAAAAAATATTTCTTACACTTGCGGTATTTTGAAGTAAAAGAGAGGTAGAATAAGATAGATTGTATTTTACGGAAATGCAAAGTTAATACTATCATGTTTGGTGTATAAATATAAAAAAATTGCATCACTAAGTAAATAAATAAATAAATATATATATAAATTGGCGGAACTTCTTTGTGACTGATAAATATTTAAGAAAATCATACCTCCACTCTAGTTTATTGGAATATAAACAAATAAACATTCAAGTGCTTTTACATGATGGATAGATGATGATATATGATTCATGAGCAATAAACAAAATATTAATGAGGAATGTGTGGTTTTACAAAATTTTAAAAAGTTTTGGTGGATGAAGAAGTAAAATTGTATATTTTAAAAAATTAAGAAATTAAAAAACATATTTCACTTTGTCTTTAAAATCCATAAACGCAATTAGAATCCTTAAAATATAATGAACTGGATTTTGTTAAAAGGTATTGGGGAGAAAGTTTTTATTTTATTTTTAGAACATTGCAAAAGAGTACATGAAGTCTTCAATCAATGCAACAAGTAACAAGACCCTATTGCTTAATATTGTTGCCAATGTGATAGGATAGTTAAATATTGTGGTTTATTGAAAATTCTATAAGTTTTAAGTATAATTTTGCACTATTAAGAAAGAAATGGTTCTATATTTTTGCTATTATCCTACAATTGATTATGACTTCAATAAGAAGCAAAGAATTTTTAGAAGTTGAAAATTTTGAATTAGTGACAATACCAAAAAAAATTAGGCTTGCAATGGAAAAAAATAGTCCTACACATGTTTAGGCAAAATTAGAAGATTTTCGTCTAGACTTTAGCCAAATAATTAATGAGATATCAATTTTAATATGTTTAATAACTATTTAATGAAACAGACAATACTCATTTATTAAAATTATATGGATTATTTTATTTTATTTTATTTTTTAAAATCCAAGTATCAAATTTCATCGAATAAATATATATATATATATATATATATATATATATATATATGTTATACATAAATATCAAAAAAATAAATGAATATATTACTTATGGATTTAATTTTAAAAACAGGTTTTTTTTTATAATAAAATTCCTTATTTTGAATAATTATACATCTAAAAAAACATTAATTTGGTTACAACTTATAAATCCTATTTTGTAAAATCTAAAATGTTTATAACAAGCATAAGCTATATTTCACATAAATCTAGAAGATGCACTGCAATGAAATTAAATGTATATATAAAAAACCACTTGTAACTAAAAATAGAAATCACAAAGAAGAGAACAAAATTTTGATTTCATGATGAAAAAATCAAATCAATAACCATGTCGGTATCACCAGGTGCACAAATTGAATGTGTTTAATGTACTACAAAAAGGTGTGCAATTTCATGAATAGGATTATGTACACATTAAATTATAAAATGCATAAATCCTTATATATATATATATATATATATATATATATGTATATCTAATTTATTTATTTATTATTTTAAAATTATAGACACCATATCATTCAGCTCATGTATTAAAGTTTAAACTGCTTCATCTCTGGCTGACCAAAGGTAGTCTGGGAGTTTTCATGCTTTGTCCTTTATGTTCGTCCATCGGTAAGTGTCACCTTTCGCTGGACGCCGCCCATGTTGGCGACGAAGAGCTGGTAATCACCGCCACCGACACCGGCTCCGCTCCGCTCAGAGCCTCGCGTTGCCGATGGGATCTGTGAGATTCAGCTTCGGAGCAGCAGATGATCTGAACAAGCTCTACATTGCGCTCTTTTCGATCAAATCCTGTGGAGTATTTTTTTGTGTGTTGGTTCCCTAATTAGTGCTTGAGCTTGTGATTAGGCGGCACAGTGGTGGCTGGCACTGGTAATGTCGGTGTGCTGTAACCTTCGGCAGCTGCTAGATGATATGCTAAGCATGAATTCAAGCATGGGATGTCGACGTGGTGGTTTTTGTACGTTTAATTATGCAGCTGCAGTGTGCAGTCCTGAGCAGGTAGTCTTGATCATGACCGCAGGTATGCAAGATAAAGCTATCTCGGAGTCCTGCAAGCTGGGTAGGAGCATGGTATTTGCACCGATTGGAGGACACTTTCTCGAGCACAAGTTTCTGATAAGGAGCACTGGTTAGATGTGCGCCGAGAAGGGGATCTCGCACTAGTATGGACAGGGGAGGCTGGAAAACAGGACATCACTTCTTTGAAGCCAACGGATGTATTCGACGCCGCTCAATGTGGACTCGCCCGAGAGTCAAATGATGGAGACGATTCGGGTGAATGTGTTGGAGGTAATGACTCTGCAGGTGTGTGCAAGCAGAAGGTTTTGCTTGTGATGAATTACCCAATTCGGTGCACGTTTGGGATCAACGATGGGCATCCTGTTGGGAGCGAGAATTGGTTTCAAGGAGGAGGACTCGCCTAACTTCCAGCGGTCTTGCTACTCGAAGACACAGGCTACGATGAGCACGAGTGTGGTGTTGAGGGTCGTGATGCAGAGCATTTTTACCTGCATGGTGTCTGTTTGGGTGGTAGGAGTAGGTCGTGCATATTGTGAACATCCACTTGTCCTACTCACGTTGATAGACCAGCGACGGAGATAGTTGTGCGCTGATAAGTGACAGAGTAACTAGATGTGCAGGCGGAAATGGATGTTGCATTAAGGAAGATGGCATGGTTGGTGGAAATTATGGATGCTAAGGATGGGTGGTGATGTGGAGGCTTTGTGAGCACGTGGAGTAGCTTTTGAGGGAATTCGACAATGTGTGCACGTCGGGGGTGCGGATGCCGATCACCGGCGATTTGTAGGACCCTTGGAGCGTCATCACCTGGTACGATAAGGTGGCGGATATCCCCAACTTCGTGACGACCGTGGATGAGCTGCTGTCGATGTCCATCGAGAAGGCGAATCACAGGCCTGCGGGGATGTGGAACTTTAGGGTCCCAGGAGTTGTAAGCCACATTGAGAGCCTGAGGATGAATAAGGAGTAAATCGAATTCAGGTACAGGAATTTCATGGTGGAGGAACAGGCGAAGGTGATTGTAGCGGCGCGCAAGAACATCAAGCTGAATGCGTGGATATTGTGGAAGGAGGTTTTCTAGAGAAACTATAGATTTATCAATGAGTCGCTGAAAAAGTACGTGTTCGACCCTCACAAAAAGAATCCATCCAGACTAGATAAATGTATGTGAGGAGGTGGAATGTTTTATTTTTTATTCTTTTATACAAACACATCATTTGTCAACTTTTTCTCACCTTTCAATCATGTCCAGTTTTTCATCTGAATCGCGACCGTCACCCTTGCATAACTCGTCGTACTTGTACATCAAACTAGGGTTGTGCGCTGTCATTCAGTATAATTTTGATATCCACCCAGAACTTTCCGGTTTAGTTGGTGAATGAGCTCCAATGCCTTCGCTGGATCATCTTCAATATCCACGCATATTACTATCGTTGTTGGTTCCTTCTCTCTCTTTCTCTCTCTCCCCTGATGAAAACATTAACTGGAAGGAGTATCTATGAACACTGTCTTAGTCGGATTTGTTTTTACGAAGATGATGCAGTTGCTGAAGTCAGCAATCTCCTGGCTAGTCTAGTTAAGACTCCTGCTTTTTTGATGTTATATAACAACGTGTACAGCATGTTCATAGTCTGAACTTTTCTTTAATGAATGTAGAAGTGTGTTCCACAGTCTAATCAGAATTCTCTTATGCTTTTGTTTTTCTGTATTCGTGGATGTATCATTCTTGGGGATGCACACAAGTAGTCACCAAGGATTAACATACTATTTGGACTCGAAGGAAATGGGTAAACTGTCGATAAATTAGTGCAATGTTCAGAGCGGCGCGAACTAGTACAGTGTTCAAGTCGTAGAACAAGTCCGCTCAAAAAATTCTCTAGTAGATCTGACAATGTCAGTGGGAGGCTGGATGTGGGCGTCATATGACGTCTGTCTTGGCCACAACCACATTGGGAGTGAGGATTGTTGAGACCAGTGTTCCGTGACGGCTTCATGTCTATTCAGCGGATTCTCCGTCTTACTGGGGATTCTCTAATCGCTCCCCTTCCGCGATCGCGAAGGTCCCGTCTGTCCTGTGGGTTTGTCTGATTTTGTTGGCCCTTCTCACGCAACACTTGCTCCTGCATCGATCAGGTCTGGACGGCAGTCGGCGACGAAAACCTGCCCACTCTGAATTCGCTCACTGCCATTTCTTTCCTAGAAGAGGTTATTTTATTTCTTTGCGTTGTGGCGTACATTTGAGGCAAGCTGGATTTTTTGAATTCCGCTTGCAAGTGTTTTGATTTTGCTCTATTTATGTCTGGATTTGGTTGGGTTGAAAGAGACTTGTGAATCATTTTTATAATACATCTTTGAGCATCTCTCCTCACGCAACTTTCCTGCTAGATTTTGATCTGTCATTGAATTCATGCGGTGATTGTGGGTCTACATAAATGGTGACCTATGTGTGCTGTTTCCCCCTTATTTGTGTACCTCAACTTTGAAAATTGTATGGTGGGTTTTGTTTCAGACAGATGGTTTCGTGATAGCTGTAATTGGGTTCAGTTTATTGTATAAGGATTGATAAGCTTCGTTTTTCTATTGTAGCAGAAGCTAGCAAAGGTGTTGGAGCGCGTGCAGCAGCAGCTATGGGGTGATTCCTATACCCCCAGTGGCAAAGAATTTCAGTCATGTGTTGGAGACGCATGGAGACAAGAGAGTGAACGATTACTACTGGATCCGCGATGATGAGAGGAAAAGTCCCGACGTGTTGGCACATCTGGAGGAAGAAAATGTTCACACGGAGGCGGTTATGGCTGGTGAGATTTGTGAAGATCCGATGCCTGGCCACCTGAACACATCCAGTACATGTCGTTTTGGGGTTCATTGTTTGTTGATTTTGCTGGTACACGCAGTCGGTTTATCGACGCAAGCATGTAAATTCACATGGGCTATGGGGTGTACTTCTAGTGAGTGACACTTCAGGATGCGCGCATGCCACTTCTAAAAGTAAACCTTCAATTCGTGTCTGATTTCAATTCTAGAGTGACACGGATTTACTTCTTTTGAGTGACACCCAGAATGCTGGAAGTCTGTCCTTGGCAGGAAAGTATCCTCCGAGAACCCAATGTCCGCGGCCCATTCTGATAAAATTGACTGGGCCGCGGACAGTGAGACATTGTTCTACGTGACCCTAGATGAAGTGCTCCGTCCTTACAAGGTCTAATCTCACGTTTCTTTGTTCTCTTTTCGCAGTTGAGGGTTAGCTAGACACTGAGCAGGTTTCTTACTTGTGTCACATGGTTGGAATTTCCAGCACATGTTGTGCATGTACTTCTCTTTTTATCCTGAACTTAAGTCATCAAACATGTGGTATCTTTAACTGTCTAATGTTATGGTTTGCTTCTCAGGTTTGGCGACACAAATTGAATAACGAGCAATCTGACGATGAGTGCCTGTATCATGAACAAAATGAGGAATACTTTCTTGATCTTGACAAGTCAGAGAGTAAGCAGTATATTTTTGTGTACACTAGGACAAGGTGACCCAATTTGTCCTCTACTTGAGCTCCAGTTAGATGGTCGGGTGCATGGAACTTCTATCGCCTCATATTAAAGGTGAAGATTACGACGTCACTCATCAAGGAGACCACTTTTATTTTGTGAGGAGGAGCGAAGAGGCATTTAATTTGGAGCTTCTAGTTGCTCCTGTTGAAAACATCTCTGCCTTAAGTGTGCTGCTTCCTCATAGATTTAGGTACGCAATTTAGGTATTTTTCCAAACCTGTGAGTTTACAGTTTTAGAAAATACATCTTGTCAAAATTCTTAAAGCTTGATCCCTAAAGTGTGTGCGAGAACTTTTGTTTCGTGAAGCTTGATGTTGAAAAGTAGTTGAATTTTCCTGTGGTGCAGCGTGAAGCTGGAAAATGTATTGACCGTAAAGGATCATCTTATTGTCATTGTTCGTGAAGATGAACTTCAAGCCATCACTATTATGCACTTTCTCCAGCTGGAAAGCCAGTAGAGTCGCTCTCTGAGGGACAGAGAATCAAGGTTTTGGAGCCCACGTATTCCTTACAGCGTGGATCATACCAATTCAACTCCCACATCTTTCCATATGGTTATAGCTCCTTGCGAACTCCATATTCTATTTATGATTATGATGTGAACACGGGCAAGGCCGTGTTGAAAAAGTCGACGCCGGTATTTTCTTTTCTTCTCTTTTCCGCGTGAGGTGTCCAATTTGTCACGTGGGTTGGTTTTTGTGAAGTCCACAACTCGATAGCAAGTCACTTTGAAGGTACTAATAGAAAGTGCCTGAGATAACAAAGTTGCGTGTGAGCTATTTCAAAACTGGCGAGAGGTATTGCCGGCCATTTCCGGCGTAGCTTTCATCAATCTCAGCTTGCATTTTATAATCTCACTGTATGTTTAAATATTTGTACATGCTCATCTTGCTGACATCTGCGTGTTGTGGTTTCTAGGTCTTGGGTGGCTTTGACACAAACCAGTATTAAACCGTGAGGTCCTGGGCTACAGCCAGTGATTGCACACGCATTCCTATATCAATCGTATACAGGAAGGATATTGCTAAATTGGATGGCGCAGACCCATTGTATCTCTCTCGCTATGGTTCCTACAGGGTAGTCACATTCAACCCCTCAAGTTGTCACTGTCGATTGTGTATTTTTTGCCCCAATTTCCAATTTGGCGTCCAGAATTAGCTTCAGAGGACGAAGTGCATTATGATTTTGATGTTGTGTGAACGAATAGATTCACATAAATGTGATCCGTTGAGCTTATGCGTTGGTTTTGTTTTTTCAGATTTCGTATGACCCCGAGTTCTTCTTGGACACACTATCTTTGTCAGATCGAGGGGTTGTACTTGCTACTGCCCATATTCGAGGGGGAGGAGAGTTGGGGCGCAAGTGGTATGAGAATGGGAAATTACTGAATAAGAAAAACACCTTCACAGATTTTATAACTTGCGCAGAGTACTTATTGGAGAATACGTATGGATCTCGATGTAAGCTTGCTATTCAAGGACGGAGTGCAGGCGGCCTCCTGATGGGTGCAGTTCTGACCATGCGACCTGATCTATTCACTACCGTTATCGCGGAAGTGGCGTTCGTAGATGTTTTAACAACCATGCTTGATCCATCCATTCCTCTCACAACCCTAGAATGGGAGGTATGACCTAATCTGCAGGATGTTTGCAACGTTTTTGAAGTCAAGTTACACCTTCCCTGTTTTCAACACAAAATGCTTATCTGTATGAAGCAGTAGACGATGTCATCATTTTTTATCAGGCTCCATGTAGATCTATCTTCTATACTAGGTTTTAATGTTCCAATTTTACTTATATGTTTGTTTATATATTATCATTTATTTTTTTGTATTTCCTTCCTGGCTCTTCCTATGAAAAAAACACATCCGATTTTTAAGATGGTACGCCTTGTTTACATTTGCATGCTTATTGACATTGAAAACTGTGCAGAAATGGGGTAATCCTTTCAAAGAGGAGTATTATCACTACATGAAGTCTTACTCGCCTCAGAATAACGTAAGACACTACTATGAAGCTCATAGTGTATTTCGTTGTGAGAGCTGGATGTCGTCGCTTGTGGTATCTCAGTGTTGACTGCACTTGGAGCATTTCCAAACCATTTTAAAGAGTAGGGTATGTGATTTATGTCTTCTTACTTTTTTCTTCCATCTCTTTGATACTGCAGATTCAAGCCTGTAACCACCCAAATGTGCTCGTCACAGGAAGTTTTCATGGTGAGCATATTGAGATTTTCCATTGTCATTTCTCCCGTTGCAGTAATTCTAAACATCTGCTTCAGCTGAAATTTGCACTTGATATCGTAGCGATGCAAAAGTGCTTGAATCCTCACACTATTTAATGAGCCTCGTTGTGCTTACATTCAGGCTGGTGGAAGCTTTCATTGTGGTGGCTTTCCCTTTACGATGTTAGCTTCATATTTCTGAGCTGGCACATTAGCAGAGAACAACTTATATGATTTTAAATATGCCATGACATTCTACCATATTCTAATACTCTACTTTTGAATGCAGTTGCTAGTACAAATCACTTCGCAAATAAATATGGAACCTCCACATCAATACAATAAACATAACATCCTTGCAATATAAACAAAAAACTTACAAACATAACCACAAGTACAAGCCATGAATTTAAATACTAAATTTATAGTGCACTTCATTAACTAAATAAATGCATACCAAAAGCATAATACTTGAGGATGTTCAGTAATGCACATATATTTCTTTATCCATTTAATATTATTCATGTTCATATCCAACAAATACAAATTTGTCCAGAAGTGTAGGTGCTTATCCTCTTCTTCAATTAACAAATGCATTCAAATCTCATCATTCAGCAATTGCTACAACCCCTTTGCTTTGTTGTTCTGAATATAGATCACCTTCTTTGCATGTTGTTGCAGTGCTAACATCTAGCCTTAAGAAGGCATTGGACTTTTTATTGCCATTAATTGCTTATAATAATTTTCAAATAAAACAATATTACTATACATATTTATATAATCCTAAATAAAGTAAAAAAATTTAAAAGAAAATTAATACATTTAAATCACTATCTTTCTTAAATTTTTTTTTAAAACTTTTTCTAGCTCTTTTTTAAAAAAACTCCAAAATGCTCTTCTTTTTAAGAGATTTTTTTTTTTTCTTCTTCTTCTTCTTCTTCTTCTTTTCAGTTCTTTCTAATATAAATTCCAAAAAAATATCTTTTAAAAAATATTTTTCTTATTTTCAATTACAATATCTTCCAAAAATCTTAAATCCCAAATCCTAAAGTATAAACCTTATTTTGTAATTTACTTTTATTTTATAATTAATTACTCTTCTTTGATTGTCACCTCTATCAAATGTGTTAAAACACTTACTATACCTTCACGTTTCTTTAATGTCAAGTCATTGACTAATTGGTGCTAATTAAAATTTTGCTGCTACTTGATGTTAATAGGATCTATCTAAAAGTTTGTAACAATAGTTAAGTAGTTGTGCATTTAAAAAAAATCATTAAACACATGCACTATATAATTATGCTTGCTTGGCATGCCACTTCTTGAAATATTTGTATAGTTGCTTCCACACTTATAGCACTTGAATAAAGAGAGATTTCTCTACATGTAAATAATAGATGACATCAACCATTAGTTGTATCAATTCAATTACTAACAATGCATTTTTCTAGGCTATTACTAAGTATTTGAAGTAATTCTTATGGATATTACTTTTTGCTAACTTTGCTTATTTATCTAAGTTAAGCAATTACATGATGGCCTTGTTAGAAGCTAAGATGCTCCTTAATACAAAATACTTAATAAAAAATCAAGTAAAGATATAACTCTCTACAATCTTGGTCTATATGTACCTTAACACATGCAAATAGTAATTATTTGCTTGTTCAAATACACATATTTGCATCAATGCTATTAACTTATTTATTTATAAATATTAACAATAACCTAATAATAGTGGAAACTTATTGATTTGCATGTAATTTAGAGGTGCTAGTAAAACTATGTAGAAAATAAATAACAACAAGCCTACTTGTTATTTTGTAACATTTATGCCATTTTAATACTTTCATGCTAATTACTTACTTTGTTGTATTCTTATTCTTGCATATCTCACATTAGTCACCTATTATGATTGCTATCATTGGTGATATTAGATATTATATTGGTAATGTCTAAGGTCTTAGTTACTATATAACATTTGTTTTTGGTTGCAAAGTCCTTGAATAATGAAGAAAGGACATGCACTTAACAGCCAATGGCCAACATTGTAGAGATTTGTTCCTTAAGCTCTTTCATTGTTTTATGATTAGCATTGGTTTTTTCCATCAATCTAATTGGTAATAATACCATCAATAATTTGTTCTACTAGCTCAATTTGAAAATCTCTAATTTCCTCCATATTCTTACAAAAACTAGAAGTTTTGATGAAATGTAGAATTAGTAGCAAGATTCAATATGTACAATGCAAGTTTCATGCTAAGATGTGCTTCAAGCATTACATAATTATAATCAAAGAGGGTAGTTTGTATAACTACAAAGAAAACTACATATGTTCATATTGTCTTATTAAGAGTTTAAAGCTGAAAAACTTCGGTAAGCAACACTTAACAACCTATTTATTAATAGCAAATATATTGATGCAGCTCTTATAAACATTATTTTTTTATTTAATTGTAACAAGTTGGCAATAACCAATAGCATTCCTTACTTTTTTGTCTTCTCTTTCTTGCTATTGATAAACATCTCTATTAACTCATTGTTATTGGTGTGTGCAACTACTTCTTCTTGAGTAGAAGCATAGAAGCTGTCAAGGATAGTGGTGGATAGCAGCTCTTTGCTAGAGAGCTCAAAACTTATGCTAAAAAAAAATCTTCTTAAGTTTTGGATTTCCAATGAGTCACAAAGCAATAGGATTGGTGTAAAAGAATTAATTCAAGTCATCAATGGCATACCTCTTCATAGTTACTAGAACCATAATTTTTTTTAAATACCTCACTTGTTACTAGATGTATTTGTTGTTGCTTATGTGCTTACAATTGTTCATGTTGTGGTCTTATTAAGGACAAGAACTAGATGAATGCAAATAAACAAGTGAAGTGTTTCTCAAAAAAAGATATCTTTTTTGTGAGAAAAAAATAAAAATAAAAATAAAAATAAAAACACAATTATTATTTGTATTCATAAAAATCCTCTAAAATCACCTAAAAATCATTCTACCACAATGTCTGTACCAAAAAAAAAAAAAAAAAAAAAAAAAAAAACTCTAGACTAAGATACCAAATCACAAACAAAACAAAAACTAAGATAATAGCTTGGTATAAAACTTGAAGACTCCACTTGCATGTATGGTTAAGTTAATCACATACACCAACGCACCCTTAGCAACCATTAGAGCTATAAATGTAGCTACTGCCACAATTGGCAGAAAATTGTTGCATGCATATATTTACTCTTTGACCCAAAACATACGTATATACTCCTTTTTAGAGCAATTCTATGATCTAAGCAAAATTATGCATGTATTCTATATAAACATATGTGCCATCTACTCTGGCTCAAGCCTACTCATAAACGAGTGAGGTTTTTTCAAAACCCTGACCTTTAATCCTACATCCCTCCTACTACTGATATTTTAAGAACTTCTAGCAATTCCTAGCAAAATGTGAGACATAGTGCTGGCTGGGCACCTGTTCGGCGAAATCGGTTCTGATGGAGGATGAGATTCATGAGAACAGGGGCGTGGACAATAACTTTTTTCACACACTTGCAACATACATTCTCGCAACCTTTTTCTTCCACGCTTACTCTTACGCCCACAAATGTGTGAGGTTTCTCGTTCGGGAAGTCTCCAGGTTTTTTTGAGTCCACGATGTGGTCTGAAGGTGCAACTGAAGTCTCATTCTGCTGCTGCTGTTGCACTTCCTTTACAATGCCGATTGTGCGGGTCCCATCCTCTTTTGCCTTTGTTTTCGTTGCATCCGGGCCCTCAGATCTGTGACAGGTGAGTTTCTGTGCGTTTTGTCAAGTTTCCGAGAATAGTAAAAGTAATGGACTCTCAGATCGAGGGAGGGTATTTGATGAAATGTTGAATAGATATGTTGTTCGTCATTTTACAGCTTTACGGGATTCGCATCTTTGAGGGACATGGATCTGTTTGAGGTTATGTTTCAGAATTGAAGAAACGTGCAGGAAGTGCGGGCATCTTATAAAACTGTCGGCGTAATTTGGTGGATTGAGATTGTGAAATTGTCGATTTAGCGGTTGCATGCCTGTTTGACTGGCTTCTCTACTTGGTGGCTTAGCAGGGATGGGGGATGAAGGGCCGAAATTGCTTGAAGTTTTGAATGGTACAAAATCTTTTATAGGGAATGCTGGACGAGTGGAAGCATGGATCACGGTTGTTGTGGCGCTTGTTGTGATCGTTTCGTCGACATGGCTGTGGCTTTGCAAACGATCTGGAAGGAGGAAGAGAATCCCTGGGCCTGCAATTTGGCCCGTGATAGGAAGCATGTTGGATATCGTGCAGAACTTTGACACCTTGAACGATTGGTATCTCAGTTACTTCAGTGATGACGTGAAGACTTTCGCCTTCGCAATTCCAGAGTTTCCACGAAGCCTGAAATTTTTTGCGACCGTTGACCCTGTTAACGTGGAGTACATCCTCACCAATATCCACAAGTATGGAAAGTTAAGCACCCTGACAAAGATTGTAAGAAAGCACATTGTGGACAAGGAGATGAACTAATTTGCTTCTGAGCTTGTTGGACAGTCAATGTCCATGATCAGCTGGTAGACTGCGTCTTGCATTTACTAATCTTTCCAAAAACTCTCAAGAAGCTCACAAGTTAAGTATTTCAAACGGAAATAAATTGAGAGATCGAAGAGGTACAGTGCAGAATTAATTCGATGTGAAGATTGTATACACCGCAAATTTCCAGAAAAGAATTTGCAGGGTTGACATAGCTATCTTTTGATGTGTGCTAACATGCTCGCAACATTTTCAACATGCAGGGCCCAGGCTTACAAGAACGCGCCGGGGATTTCCTTGGTTCTGGGATGTTAATGACGGATGGAGCAGCATGGAAACGTCACCGCAGGATTGCCAGCACAGAATTCTCAACAAGCAAGCTTCGAGATCACTGTGACACCGTGTTCCGAGAAGGCGCTATTAAGTTGGCAAATGTCTTAAAGAGCGCCATGGCTGTCAAGGATCCAGTAGAAATCCAGGTGAGTCGAAAAACCTCGGAGAACGAAATTGAACTGGTAGCATTCCGCGCCACTGAAGTTTTTGTCAAAGATTACGCAGAGCAATCTTTGCAAGGTTTTTTTTTGTAACTAGTCAACCTCGGGCAAAGCTACCTGTTAATGAGCTGATTATTGTGATCATTTCTACAGGACTTGGCAATACGCTTGACTTTGGATAATATTTGCAAAATGGCCTTCGGAGTCGAACTGGGCTGTCTTGCAATCACTCTACCAGATGTACCGTTCGCAAGAGCTTTTGATGATGCGCAGAGTTTGGTTGTTAGGCGAGCAATGAACCCTCTGTTTAAGATATAAAGGGCATTGAATATAGGAGACGAATGCTGCTTTCGTGAAGCTATTCGCAACCTGGACATGTTCGCGGTGAATGTAATTAACAAAAGACGCAAGGAGATTTCCGCCGCTCACGATGCAGGCAGAGAGTTTGTAAGTTGCATGCTTACTGGTGATTATGCTGGATCACTTGCCGAGAGGTATACTTGGTCCATGTAGCATCTGTGTAACATGCGAGCTGAATATTCGATTACATCTAAAGCTTTTGGATTCAATTCACAGAATAAGGAAGACCTACTGTCCAGGTTTATGTCGCATCGTGCTGGGGGCGACGATAGCTACAACGACAAGGAACTGCGAGATGTCAGAGTTGATTTCTTGCTTGCCAGACGAGACACTTCTGCGGTCACTATTGCATGGTTTACGTATGCAATGTGCCGCCATTCGGATATCGCTGATAAGATCCATAAGGAAGGGGTCGACGTGGTTGGCTACCATACAGATTTCGAGTCTATGGCACAGCGTCTTAAGCATGAGGTTTTGGGTCGAATGCACTACCTCCATGCTGCACTTTCTGAAAGTCTTCGATTACATCCACCACTAGCCAGGGTACGTCAATCAATTCGCGTATGCACAATCATCTCTGATTTTACCAATCTAAGAGTCATCCGCTTTGAATGGCAAGATCTTCATGATTGCATTTGTAGGAAAGGGTAACGAGTTGAGCTAAATTCAGAGTGGAGTTCATTATTGTGAGATTTCGTTCTTCATGTGCATAGGATAGCAAGTACGTGTTTGAAGATGATGCACTCCCCGATGGTACAAAAGTAAGAAAGGACGATTTTGTGCATCATGTACCATATTCCATGGGACGAATGCCATTCTTGAGGGATTCTGATGTGCTGGAGTTCAAACCCGAGAGGTGGCTCAAGGATGGTGCCTTTCAAAGCGTTTATATAAAGCGTATTTCAGGCACAGACCTAACCCTTCAAATTGTGAGGATTGTTAATTGAATGTTTATGCACATGGGGGGCGGTAATACTTCGTATCATCTCATATGAGTGTTGAAGGTTGGTTGCCCAATTGGAGATGCTTGGCTCCTTCGTCTTAAAGGCCTTCAATGCGGGACCTACGGTAGGATCCTTTCCTGGCCTTGCCTGCGCTCTGTTTTGGTTCTTTAGCATCCACCCCGCATCGTTCCTTTGGCAGTGCTGAATCATCCATGAGCATCGAATTCTAGTGATGAACGTGATTCAAGTTATTGATTCAGTTTCTAATATGATGATCATTTGAAAAGTAAAGTTTGATTTTTCTAAGTGGGAGTCTGTAAAAATATAATAAAATCAGTTTAGGTTCTTAAGTTGGAAAAAGGAAAAGTAAAAGTCATGTTTATTACTCAAATGATTTTATTGCATTATAGAACTCGGAAAAATCAGAACCTGAGAGGACCAGGATTCAATAAGAGACAGATAGATCTACAATATTTTGATTTTGATTTTTGTGAATTTGTGAGAATAACTTAGTGGACCAACGTGGCACAAGAATCCAGTAGTATACATGTGATATGGTAGAGTAATTTTAATACCACTTAAAAAATACAAGTCACGAATTTGAAGTAGGAGTTATTCTAAAAACAACTTCAGATTTAATTAGGGTAATTAGTATAATTAGTATAAATTTTTAGTTAAAAAATATTTAATTTTTGAATAAAAAATTTGTAGACAAAAAATTTATAATTACTAATGCTTAAGAAGCAAATAATAGTTGTCTATCCAACCATGGAGGAAAGGAGTTCTGCTTCAAAAGTCATGTTCACACCAAATACGTTGCGCACCTGCAAGGTTTTCACTGAGACTCATAACAATGGACCTTAAGTACAGATACAGGAAGTTTCAATAAATAAATTTATCCCAAATCCAGTAAAGATTCTGCAAAACTTTGGACGATTGAGTTCCATTTTGTCACACATGTCAATGATGCGTCCACGATGCAAGCTCCCCTTGAACTGGAATCTGATTAATAAAAGACTTATACAATCACTAAATGATGTGACTATCATATGATACAGATAACTTCAGAGTAAGCCCAGATGGAAGAAAATATACTATACAACTTGAAACAATGATCAGAAGAAGAGGGAGCAGAAGCAGATGCAACTAATCCTTGCTGCTTCGACGCTTCCGAGTCCGTGTAACAACTCCTTGTTCTTCATATTGAGTAGGCTCTGGCTTTTCATATAAACCTTGCTGTTTCAGACTCTCAATCTTCTCTTCCTACAACACAACATAGAAATTTCCAATGTCAAATGTACTTCAGACACGACCACATGACTACATATTTTTGGGTCTCATAGAAGGGGTTGTTTTTTTCCTCACCTCACTAAGTTCTGCATTGTCCACACCCATAGAGAGCAAGTAACCGCCTAGGGCAGCGACAGCTGCTAGACTCAAAACCAGACCAACTGCGCTAGAAGCTGTAATCCACATGGTATCCTCTCCCATGGCTCTGATTGGATCCGCAACCCTTCTGCTCTTCATTTGTCGGATTCTATCACTCCAAGCACCCGCAGCAAGGCCTTGCCTTGTAATACAAGTCCCAGTTCCCACTGCCCATCTGCCACGACCTGCAAAAGAGTTACGTCGCCTAGAAGAAAACTGATTACTGATTCACACATATTAAATCTAAACAGGATACCATGGACTTACTGGTTCCTCAAACGGTTAGGTTACAGATGGTTCTGTAAACTGAGACTCGAAATGAGCTATGCGATGAGGTGCTTAATTTAGTTGTATATACTAAGTAGAATTCTCATATTATGGTATCAATTTCAGATAAACCATCTAAATTCTGATACTTTTTAAACTCATTGTGCCATCTTGCAACAATGGATTTTATAGCTGGTATACACTCCTCAAACTAAGGACTGTAGCAAGACCCTGAAAAACTACATTACTAGAAAGACGCTGTTCAAGCAGCAACTTCAGAGGACATTTTACTAGAGGGTCGGATTTGAGAGTCCCGTTAGGATTTCTTCCACACTTTTCGCAGTAGATAAATGCAGTAACGCAAATACATTACTAATATTTATAGCTTTATCAGCATCCGTAAGTTTTGACAAACTCGCCTGTAATTTGTAAGACCCATGTGCTAATTGCCACAGCCTCGACTTCCATCCCATTCGCACATACAGAATTCCAAACCCTGACAACAACCTTCATCGACAATCGATAAACAATTGTCCATAGAAATACAGATTCCTCATCTGCCTAAACTCAACACAGCAACCTCAAAGGCGCTCCGACCCAATGTAACCCCTAATCCCTGCACGCTCATCACAACAGCATTCAAATTTGGACGTACCTGAGTGTAACGCATTACACACAACGAGCGACCGTGGAGAAACCAATGCACGAACCCATGATCGGAGGTAGCCTCTCCCACCAACTGAACTACATGAAACGCCAGCTACAAAACCCAATAAAAAAACCCTTCAATTCATACCAGAACGACAAAAACGAAATTCGCAAAGTGGTGGAGTAGTAACAACGCACCCGCTGATGAACTCGAGAGGCCGCTTAGCCTGAAATCAAGGCACTCAATCTGCAGTAATGTCGGAGACAAACTTGGGCAGAGGGTCCCTGCCATGGAGAAATTCTCTGGTTCACAGGCGAGAGTAGCAGCGGCGAAAGGGGTGCACATAGGATTGAATGCGCCTGCGATGGAATTGCGAGACTGGCGAGGCGGCATCGAGCCTTCCAGCCCCTTCCGCTCTGGATCAGGACCAACGGAACGTCTATCTCTGTCGACGGAATTCGTCCGGTGCCCACGTTCGTTCTTCGCACCACTGCAGCGAAGGACAACGAAAGTATTGTGATTGATGTACGAATTTATATATGTCAAAAAACAGAAAAAAATAAAAATAAAAATAAAAAAGTTTTCATGTATATGTGTATTTATGTGATAAAGTATAAAAAAAGTCTTTGTGATTTTATAAAATTTTCTAAAAGTGCTGTAATATTTATTATGGAAAAACCTAAATCATGTTAGTTTCCAAAAGGTTACAAAGGGTTTTGCAAAAGGTTTCAAGGATTTAGGAATGCTTTAAAATGTCTTCTAATGTAAAAGAATATCTTGCAGTTAGTGGTGTTTGCAATTGGGCATTATGGGCATTTGTATAGTAAATTGTTAAATGTTTATTTTTATTTGACGAATTTAACTTGAGATTTTAATTTTCGTAGATGGAATATACTAATAATACTTGAGGTTTTACACACATTAACAGACAATTGTATCATGTTTTACTAAAAGTGTCACATATCTTAAATATCATATTAAAATGTCGGTTGTGCATTGAATATTGTTGTAGTTGTTCATATTCAATGTTGGATCACGATGTTTTCTTTTAGTTGAACAATGTATAACAAACCATATCAATAAAAATGTTGCCATTTTTGTACATATGATATATACATCTAGTATTTAATCTTGAAATTAGGTAACTGCAGTTATAAAAAGTTATCATTAATTGATTATGATAGTTTCAGGAATAATAAGAGCAGTCTCTATTGAATAATATTCATTTTTGACAGAATATTAGAACTTAGTGAATTCTCTCATTTCGAACTTATAATATTGAAACATATGTCCATTGCGAAGTTATCGTTAGGAAAATGCACCAATTATTGAATAGTATTAGTTCTTACAAACTAAGAAACATTTCATATCCAAGTCTTCTAGACTGTAACTGACTAAATATTGATGGTGCCCTCCGTCCTAAGTCACAATGGTGTCATTTTACTCGTCACACTTGTTGTATATTGTTTCTGCTACGTTTCTAGAACAGGAAGAAATCCAAATGGAAACAGGATATCCAGCATTTTAACTAAAGTGTTCAATAGTTGCTATTCAGACATCATATAGCCTTTAACGGGAAACTCATCACGTAAGAAACTGATGGTGAAACAAAGTAGACTGGAAGGGAAGCAGTCGATTGAAAGTTTTTGGAAAAAAGAAAAAGAATGCCCACCATCATAAATCTAAAGCACAAGTACTGCGCGCAGAAGGCAATGTGGAGAAGAAAAGCGACCACAATTTCTTCTAATCAACCAAAGGTGGAGACTGTGAAAGATCCAACCTTGATCCCAAAGATTTTTAAAAAAATTGTACATTGCATTGTCTCTTATGGACGTGCTAGCACAAGTTCTGAAAAATAAAAAGAAATACTAGGCAATGACAAGTATAGCCAGTAGTGTTCTCTCTATTCGGACCTGGCAGCGAAACGTTCGACCTTTTTGTCACTTAAATTGATGCCCACCATTGCTTCACCAAGGTTTTCACTCATTTCGGCAAGCATGTGTGCATCGTTGTAGTGTGTAACAGCTTCCACAATGGCGCGTCCGCGCTTCACAGGATCACCACTCTTGAAAATCCCTGAACCAACGAACACTCCATCACATCCGAGTTGCATCATCAGAGCTGCGTCTGCAGGGGTGGCTACTCCTCCAGCTGCAAAATTGACGACTGGAAGTCTTCCAAGCTGCTTGGTCTGCCTGACAAGCTCGTAAGGTGCAGCAATTTGCTTGGCGAAAGTAAAAACTTCGTCATCGTCTAGACTCTGTAATCGCCGAATCTCACCCAACACTGATCTCGTGTGCCTCACAGCCTCCACAACATTACCAGTGCCAGCCTCTCCCTTGGTTCTGATCATAGCGGCACCCTCCGCAATTCGCCTCAAAGCCTCTCCCAGGTTACGGCATCCACACACAAATGGAATCCTGTAGTTGTGCTTGTTAATGTGGTTTACGTCGTCAGCTGGTGTCAGGACTTCACTTTCATCAATGTAATCTACACCGATTGCCTCAAGGATTTGAGCCTCCACAAAGTGCCCTGCTCAGTCAAAGGAGTTGCAAGGTTAGAGCAAATTCCCGAGGACCACAATCGCTGCATGCTAAAAATCCATCCCTACTGTAGTAAACATTGAACTCTCACATCAGGGCAAGTCCACTCAATACTAACGACTTCATTCATTCCTATCGAATCCTAAAACAAAATCCATGAAATAACAATGAGACAAAATCCTGCAAGCCGAAGGGACACGCATACTATACGAGCGAGATCAGACAAACCACGCACCAATTCGAGCCTTCGCCATAACAGGAATAGTAACGGCCTTCTTGATCTCCTTGATCATAGAGGGATCGCTCATGCGGGCCACACCACCCTCCGCACGGATGTCAGCCGGCACGCGCTCCAGAGCCATGACGGCCACTGCCCCTGCTTCCTCAGCGATCCTGGCCTGATTGGCATCCACAACATCCATGATCACTCCGCCGCGCAGCATTTGTGCCAATCCAACCTTCACAGCATACGAGACTGTCTTCTTGTTGTTGTTCTCCGACAACCCTTTTCCATTGTCGCAGTACACCGCCACAACGCCATCGCCTTCCATCTCTAGCTCTCACGCTCTCTCTCCACTCCAATTGCTCACAGCTCCCAGCCAATCCTCTCGTAATTCAACCGTGAAAACTGAAACCCACGACCTTGATCAAAACAGAGTCCGGTGCGAGACAACAAGGAGCTTCCTCAGCAATTAAATGCTCAGATGTGCACGTTCCAACTGGAAGAGCACTGCTGAAGAGGCGTCGCTGCGGAATTTGGCGGAAAGTTCTCGATACATCGCGGTTTATGTTCTCGGGGTATTGAATCGGGCCAGCCGTGGGGACAGGGCATGGTCGTGGGCGGCGAGTTGCGGCAGACAGTTTACGGTCATAGGTGCGTTGGTCATAGGATCCATTTACTTGAGAACTGAACGTGAGGCTGCCACATCTCCTGTTCGAAGTTCCCTTCGCTTTGACGATGTGCCCAACAAACGTCCTCACTTGGAAAAGCTCAACGAATGCAGAATAAAAGTGGATGAATGAACTTTTGTGTAAATAACAACAGGCGAATACAGTATTTGTTTTGTTAATAAGTGATAGATTTGACAGTGACTCAATGTGGAACTTGAAAAAGTAGGATGATAAAAGTTGGGACTAATCAATCCGTCCTTGGAATTTTGTCTAAGTTTGCTGCAAAGTGCCAAGTTGGGTGCAAAAGAAAACCCACTATTTGACATTTTCCATGAGCAACACCGAAAATCAATGTTCATGCACCCAGCTTTGAGCATGGATGTGGCACACCCATGAGCTTAGAATTTGGATATAGGACGGGGTACTCACTGCCCTTCCTTTTTGTGTGGACATTTGATGTCCAGGTTTCCAGTGTCCCAAGGGATGAATGAATGTGCTTTATTCCTAATAAGAGCTACTTTTAAGGATATTCTTTATTATCTGGTGCTGCCAATGCTCACACGACATTTTGAGGATGCTAGAAAAATTGGGTAAAAACATTTTTTTAAAAAATTAAAAATAAAACCAACTTCTAATTATTATTTTTTTTCAGAGAAGTGCTTCTTATTGCTTGATTAGCAAGAAATATAAACTATAAGAAAATCAAATCAAACTTAATTTGTATTCGATTTCAGTAAATTTTAGTAAAAAAAAGTCACACCATGATTTAAGCTATAGTAGAGAAGAATGAAACTTGTCAAATTGAGACTAAGGCCAAATTAGGATATCAACCAAGATCTGGAAACAATACCACAATGAAAGACGAATTGCATGACTCTAAAACAACAACAGGAGTAATACTAAAATTTGCTATTGCAATAGTTGTGCAAATTCCAAGGTTTTATTGCATAGTATCTTTAATTACACAAATCAATTTCTCTTACAACAATAGTGTTGGAAAAAATGTTTATTGCCATACCAATGCCCAAGCCCATATTCTTATATCCAAAAAGAAAAGTACTAACTAAAATATGTTGGCATTTTGATTAATACATCAACCTTGTACCTTTTTGATAATAAGTTATTATGACCTTTGGCTTGAATCCACATCATTAACTCTCTTGAATCCTCACTTGTTTTGTCACAAGAGTAGGATCTACAGTCAATGCTTTCTTATAAAATTCTTTGTGTATTTCATTGACTTAGTAATTCTGCTCATCCAACTCCATAATCACTTCAGAAAGCGATTATATTTGTACAAATTAATATATGTTTTTTTAAATATATGTAAGTGTAACTTATTTATAAATTTCAATAATATTATTGCACAAGTCATAGACTACATATATGTTTGATATCCTAATAGTGAAAATAGAAATATTTTAAGGTATAATATATTATATTCTATACCTTATTGAAAAAAAAATAGACATACACAAATTTTTAAGAAACTAGCCAATAAAGTTATATATTTATTATTTTCTTATTCTATCATGTATGTAGTTGCAATTAAAAGTAACTTTATTTACATAACAACCAATATTCTTCCATAAAATGTGTTTAAACTTCTTTGAACTATTTAATTTATATTTCTTTGTAATAAAAATAAGTTATGCAAAGATGGTGCAATCCAAGTTAATTACAAAATTAGATTTTTTAAGAATATTTGTTAATTAATATTACATTACAAAAACATGTAAAAAAAATGTAAGTGTATTCTAACGATTTGTGTTTTTTTATTGAATAAGTGCCTTTATGGATTGATTTGTAGAATTTTGTATGTTTTATTTTTTCTCATTTTAAAGAAATTTTACTATTTAATTATATTTTATAATATTTTATAATAATATGTAAAATTTGAAAATCATGTTTAAATTTAGTTCTTCAGTCAACATTTACTAAACCTTGTTTTGAGCAATATCAATAATTGCAGCAAGAAAAACATTAGTTGTTTATAATCCAATTTTTAAAAGAAAGGTAACTACATAGTTTTATTGCATTGTTGGCTTTGTTTTAAGAAATTATTTATCAAGTCTTAATAAATCTAATTAGAAAGTCTTTTGTCTTGTTATTAATGAAAATGGTAGAAAATGAATTATAGTTTTGAAACTTAATTTATAATAAAAGAGTAATTTGTAAAATAAAATAAGAAAAAGAAGAAAATAAATTTAGATTCTTGTCTCAATATCTCTTTTTCTGACCTCAAACAATAAATTTAACATCTAATTTGAAATAAAAATTAATTATATTTTTGAATATAACATTTCTATTTTATTGTGATACCAAATTTTATGAATTTCATATTATGCCTTATGATGTATTTGATATGATATGATATGATATAATATTTATTTATTTAATTAATTAACTAATTTTTATTGAGCTAATATAGTATTATAATTTTATGAAAAATATTTATTACAATAATATAAATATATATAAATATATATATATATATATATTCAAATAATGCAGACATTAGAATCAATTTTAGTACAATTTATAAAAATATTGTGCTTTAAAAGGACAATAATACGATTAGTTGGTCAAACATTTTTTTTTTAATTTTTTAAGATGGATTATATATTAATCTAAGTAAGTTAAACATATCAAAATTTTTATAATATTAGATTATAATAAATCAATTATAGATAGAAAAAGAAAAATTAAAAATTATTACTATTTCTATTAGATACATTTTCACATATATGTGAAAATGTATCTAAAACTTTTAAACTTTAGATTTTTTTAATTCAATTGATATTTGAAATTTTCTAATCTTAAGTCTTTTTTTATAAAATATATTTGCTTCTAATAAAAAATTATATATATATATATATATATATATATATATATATATATATATATATCTACTTATTCTTATTCTTATTTTTTAGAGTATTTTTATTTAAAAAATAAAATAAATATTGGAAAAATTATTGTTATTTTCATAAAAAATACTCAATTAATTTTTTATATTTTTCTTACTACTTAAACTTTATCCAAAGATGTTTTTAGATATAAAGTATTATTATGGTATTTTTACTATTTTAAAAGCATTAGCTATAATTTTAATTTTAAAAAATCTAAGCTTTTATCTTTTTATTTAAGAATAGCCTATCTTTCTCTAGAGATTTCGAAACCATTTTTCAAAAGTTCAAATAAATAAAACATCTTTTAAAAAATTTATTATTACAATAAATATTTTAAGATGCTTCATTTTTTCTTTAAAATATCTAAATTAGCTTATAAAATATAATTAAATTTTAAAAGGATATATTTTTGAGTTTTCTTAAAAAATCAATTGATGCATTTTATTCTAAATTTCTTTAAAAAAAATCCATGTTATCCCAACAATAAGGTATTTTGGAATAGATTCTTACTATGAAGTTTTTTTGAAAAGGTTGCATGGTTGTGTCACGGACCAAAAATACAAACAAGAAATCTAAACAAGAAGTTCAAGAAGAAATGACAAGAACTAGATTATCAGATGAGTACAAGAGTAACGCCAGGAGAATTGAGCTAGAGCTTCAAGAGATGCGTTGTCGAGACTGAAGAACTCTTTAGCCTCGACTCTTATATATACTACTGGCCTATGGTTCTAAGGAAGCGCATCAAGAAGCTTCCTAAGAACTATGAAGCTTCTCGAGCAACTATCCAAGAGCTAGGAAGCTTCTCAAATAACTTCCTAGAATCTACTAGAATATTCTAAGAATCTTCTAGAGCATTCTAAGGGAATCTTTAGAGAATCTTCAAAGAATCTTTAGGGAATCTTTGAAGAATATTCTAAGAGAATATTCAAGGAATCTTTTGGAAGTTTCTAGAGACTTCTTTCTAGAAGGTTCTAGAAACTTGTCTCTAGAAAGGTCTAAGGACTATGTCCCTAACATCACCTCCTCCTTTAGCTTCGAGGTCTCCGAGAAGCAATGTTATCGTCAGTCAATACCAACGCAAGAAAATGAAGATCTGTCGCATAACCTCTGCTATGAACTCCAATTGTTGTTCATGAGGCAAGTGATTCAATGGTCCTTGAAGCCAACGATAGTGGCCCACGCCTTCAACTTCTGACCAAGCATGAACCTCCGTGTCTTCATTGTGAAATTGTCCTGCAAACACTCCTTCTGGCTGACCATTGTAGGCAGGCTCGACCTCAAATACAATCACCAGCGATCTGTTGCTCGGAATCCTTCAACGTCGTCGTGGTGCAGGCGGTTCTTCATCTCGCGGTCGTCTTCGTGAGCTAATTGCTTGAGATGACATGACAAGTGTAGTATCTTGGCTATCCATATTCAAAGGCTAAAACAATAAGAACAAACTTGGGCTACTAACAAAGTTCTACACTATCTTGGAGAGAATGACTACATCAACTATGGATTTTGGTGGTGCTCTCTCCTCTTTTCTGTTTTTTGGATGAGCAAGCTTCAGTAAGAAGCTATCGTCGAACCGGCTTGGGTTTCTCAGGATATCGTCGATGAAACTCCTGTACCTTTTGCGGCACATTCGGGAGATTTTCGGCCGGCTCCCATGTTCGTTCATTAATATCGTAACCGCTCCAATGCACAAAATATTCTAATTTATTCCGTCTTTGCCGTGAATCCAGGACCTTTTCCACCTCGTATTCTTCGTGGTTCTTTATTTCTATGCTAGGTGGTGGACATTGTACTCTTCCAGGAAAAGACGATTCTCGATAAGGCTCCAACAAAGAAACATGAAAGACAGGATGTACCTTCATAGTAGCTGGTAACTCCAGACGATACGCTACAGGATTGATCTGCTTCTGAATAACAAATGGTCCCAATCTCCGATAGTCCAATTTGTCACATGGCCGCTTCGTCTTAAT